AAGTGAACACACAAGTAGGAGCTTGGGGGGTATGGCAGAAGAGAGATGAAATAGTTCTCTTCCAACTGTATCCGTTTTCAGTGAAATAAGAGACCATCTTTGGCTAAGGATGCAGAGGGGGGATGATCTGAGGAGAGAGAAGTGAAATAGTCATCCCACAGAAAATAAATGTGTAGGTAGTGTGCCAGGATTGTGGGTAAGGCTGAGGGCCCACTTGAGAAAGATGGCCGTGAACTGAGAGTAAGACTGTTGACAAGGTAGCTATGTTTTCCTCCAGCCATACACTACATGACTGTAGGCATGGAAGAGAAGGAGAATTAAGTTTAATCAGCAATGGGATTCTGCCAGCTGAATACAAAGGAGATGGTATAGTCACCAAGAAAAATAAAGTCTCGATCAGGAACATTTCTACTCATAGTGCAGCATCAGTGTCACCTGCAATCAGGCAATGCATCTTCACAAGATCTCTATTTAGAGATTCAGATGCACCTGAAAGTCTGAGAAATACCTGAGTGGTGGCCAAGTAAAAACAAGAAAAATCATTAAGGATGTCACTGGGGTCATCTAAGTGGATTGTAAAGCCACGAAGATTGTTGACAGAAGAAATGACTGGGTCAAAGGAAGAGATGCTCAGAGCCATATGGGAATGAATGTCCGGGTCATAACAGCTGACCTGGAAGGCTTAAAGTCCTGGTGGTGATTGAGGCAAATGTCTAAAGGATGATGAGACTGGTGTTCTTTTAAGGGAAGGAGGTAGCTGTGGTTGTCTCATCCCCAGGTTTGTTCTCTTTGGCAGTTTATACCGATCACGAGGGCGACGCTGTCACTGAAGAAGCTGTGGTTTTACAAGAAGGACACAGAACCCCGTGAGCTTCTCCAAGGCCTGCTGCACGGAGTGCAGACTGGGAGAGAGATGGTCTTATGCGGAACACAGAGAGAGCTGAGTAGGCTTCCGTTAGATCCACATGCGAGCACGTTCCTCAGGGCAGAGAAGCAGTACGTTGTTAAGCATTTAGGATAAAGGTGGCCACCCAAAGATCCGTGCTTGCACTAACAAGCACAATAATTCTGTTTAAGAGTAGAGAAATTTATTGATCTCGAAGAGAAGCAGAAAATAAAAAGGGAGAGAAGGAGGAACAGAAACGATAGGGAGACTGATACGCTCTTCAGGATAGTGCAACTCCCTAGTAGCAGCCAAAGTGCACGATTAAAAGGATGAGACCTCCTATCTGAGATTGTACAAGTTTCATGTATAAAAATCTCCCCCATCTTCCTTGAAAAAATACAGTATAGTCTCCTCTCTTCATGAGTATATTTGTGAATGGATCTTCTATGACACTGGAGAGGGGCTGAGGTAAGTGAGGATCATGAGCCCACGAGGCAGAGGAGAACATGCAAATACAGGCTCCTGGGATGTTGAAGAAATTTGAGAGAGAGTTTTGGATAAATGCAGGTTATGCAATTAGGGGGATTATGATATTAATCATATATGTAAAGGGAAGTGGCCCCACTGATAAGTATGTTACACAATAAAATAGATTCTTTTTGAAGACCGGCCAACTGCTTTTTCTGCACTCTCCTCTCCCAGCCCCCCAAACCCTCCTGTCATTATAAATATAATTGTTTGAACGGCTGAGAAACATTTCAGGGCACCTGGGTGGCTCAGTAGATTAAGCCTCTGACTTAGGCTCAGGTCATGATCTCAGGGTCCTGGGATGGAGCCCCAGGTTGGGCTGTCTGCTCAGCGGGGAGTCTGCTCCTCCCTCAGCCCCTTCCCCTGCTCGTACTCTCTCTCCCAAATAAATAAATAAATAAATAAATAAATAAATAAATAAATTCTTTAAAAATATATATATATTTACATGAACATTATGTAAATATTAATCCCTTGGGCTATGTGTTTCTCAGGGGCAAGGCCCAACAGTAATGGAAACAAAAGAAGCACTGAAATCCACAAGTTCTTTTTAAAAATCTGAATTCTCATGGGGCACCTGGGTAGTTCAGTCAGTTAAGCACCCAACTCTTGATTTTGGCTCAGGTCATGATCTCAGGGGTGTGAGATCAAGCTCCAAGTTGGGCTACACACTCTGTGTGGAGTAAGCTTGTCCCTCTCCCTCCCCTTCCTTGCTCTCTCTCTCTCTCTCTCTCTCTCTCTCCACCCACCCCACCCCTCTGCTCTAAAATAAATAAATAAATAAAATCTAAAAATCTGAAAAGCATCCAGAATATGTTCAACAAGTAGCGAAATGACTATCTCAATGCTGTCTACTTTTGTTTAGCTTATTCATTTTTAAAAAGTTGGCAAAGAATAGGGAGGAAAGAACACAAGTGGATAATCAACCTGAGAAGTTAAAAATCGCGTATATGTAAAATAACACACAAATCAAGGATCACTACTTTTCAGAAATTTATATTCATGCCTTCAAGGTCTGTGATCTTTCAGATGGGTTCAACAAAGAATTAAGGAGAGTAAGCGGGGTACCTAACTAATTTCTGAGACCATCAGGGTCTTCCATTATAGACGTTCAGCTCAAAACTCAGACAACTCAAATTAGAGGCAAAGCTATAATTATTATAGAAAACTGAATTATAATTATCCTGGCACTCACCCATAAAAATATTTCCCAAATCTATTTTAAAAATTAAAAACAGACCAAGGTCTAGAAGCATATCTAGGATCTATCTTAGTATGCTAGTTTCATTCAAGCTGAATTTGCATTTGTTCCTTAATCACAGTGCTGAACCAGTCCTCTACCAAGAGGAAACAAATTAATTCTGAGTTCCTGAGGAAAGACCGTAGTAGATCTTCTCTTATTTCTTACAGATAATAAAGCTGCAATCAACTGGATCAAATCAGCACAGTATCCACTTTATGTGACTGGGACAATTCAAGCAGGAAAAGTATAGTTCTGTCTTTAAAGAATTCTGTCTTCCCATATCCTTTCCTACCATAATAAAAGCCAAGGATTCTAAATTTCATTTTACCTCACAGTGAAATAATTGAGAGCATACCCAAGATGCCAGAGCTCTTGGTGCAAACCCTCAGGAGGGACAGCAGAGGTCTATACCAAACTTTTTAAAAAGACATTCTTTAAAAAAAAAATAAAGTAAAATAAACTATAAACCTTATACTAGAACATAGTGAACACCTCCCACGTGATGTGATGTGGAATTATACTATAATGCTTTCCAAGTCAAAAACACTTTCTCCACACACCAAAAACTGAAGACTAGACTTCCATTATTAGTGATGAATTCCCATGGGTTCCAACACGTCCCTCTGCTTAAATGACTATAAGAGGGATTTCCATCATCAACGAGGAGGGTCAGTTAGTTGATGCAACCCTTTAGCTAGGAGCAAGTCTGACGGAGAGGGTGTGGGTTGGAGTAGAAGGCACTGGAATCATAGCACTGTCTTGTCAAAGGTAGCAGGATCTGAAGGATTAGTCAACAACGAGGCAGATCAGAGTTGGGATCCATCTATTCAATTCAGGTATCAAATTTCCTATCTGAGAAGTGAGAAGGCTAAATTTGATGATACCTAAAAAGTGCAAAATTGACACTTTTGTGAAGCATGGTAGGTCTGGCTAGAAGTGTAAGGGTTAGCCATACAGGGCTCAGACGTAGGGAACCAAAATGTCACTAATGCTGATCATAAAAGCACTGCTGGGGGCGCCTGGGTGGCTCAGTGGGTGAAGCGTCTGCCTTCGGCTCAGGTCATGATCTCGGGGTCCTGGGATCGAGTCCCGTGTCGGGCTCCCTGCTCAGCAGGAAGCCTGCTTCTCCTTCTCCCACTCCCCCTGCTTGTGTTCTCTCTCTCTCTCACTGTCTCTGTCTCCGTCAAATAAATAAAATCTTCTAAAAAAATAAATAAATAAAAGCACTGCTGGAGAAAAGAGGGAAGGCACTGAAGAAAATGTTCTACAACTGTAACTATGTCAAAAGACAGTTCTACAGGGAAATCATAGTAACGCCTCACATGTAAAGAGACCATAAATAGAAATGGAGAAAAATTCTAGACTCACGTTGGGTCACTGAATTGCTCAAATTTTTATTAAAAGAAATGGGAAAGAAAGTAGCGTGGCCGAAGGAAATAATGTTCTTAAGACTAAAAGTATGATTAGCAGTGTTGATGGATTTGCTGGCAAATGGAAAATGCTGGCTTTGATGTGTTGCGTCAAGAACACTCGCTCTGAAATGGTCCCAGTAAAATTCACTCCTTCCTTCAACAGATATTAATATGGTGCCTGGTACGAGCTTTTGCTGGATGTGAGAAAGGATACAGTGATTTAAAAAAAAAAAAAAAAGACACCTCTACTCTTAAACTTCCAACATCTGACAGAAGACATAACAGATACATCAGTAAATACAGTGGAAAATGATACAATCGAGTCAAGCAAAGGTTAGGGGTTTGGAAGAAGAGCTGGAGTTTCTGTTCTCATTTTTATTTGCGAAGGATCACAGTTCCTTCACATATTCATTCACACTAGCCAACGTCAAGAATTTCTAAGGACAAGTTTAGACACTTAATAAAGAACAGCAGTTCCTGAACCATCTGCTTTGCTCTGAAAATAAAGATCCGTCACACGCAAATTTTCATTTTACTCCAACCCTGTGAGAATATTATTGTCAGCTGGGGTAGGTAACATTTGGTTTATAACTGACATGGTGAATAAACCATGCTTTATAAAATGGCTATAATCAGTGCTTCTTTGGGGTGAAAAAAAAAACCAAACCATCAGATGAGACCAAAAGTCACTCACTTTCAGCAAGTTCCTTTGATCCATTTAAGTGTCCTATTACTAATCTTCTGATGAAGAAATGTGCAAAACACAGAATTTAAAATAAACAACAGAACCTTGTTATAGTCAGACAAAGATATATAACAGGATATCCTAAAAGTTTTTCTTTCTTAAAAAGGGAAATAATCTCCCAAACTCATATCATACAAACCTGCAAATCAGAGTAGCCCAACCCTATGTTGTGTGTATCATTCCTACCTGGTAAGGAACAATACTGCCGTGAGCTGTGCCCCAACGTTTTGCTTCCTTTTGGCCAATAAGATAATTAGCAGCTACCTGGGTCAAACATGCCACCTGCCAGGAGAAAAAAAAAAAAAAAGGTAGTTTACTCACAAGCAGAAGGTTATACTACAAAAGTTCTCATTTGAATTCACTTCATGTCATTGAAAAAAAAAAAGAGAGAGAGAGAGAGAGAGAAGCAACTCCAAACAGATCAGCAAATATACAGGCATCATCATATAAAGAAAGGAAGAGCAGTATTACATTATTGCATGAGACTAAGTATGAATAACATTCTGCGCTGGAAAAGATTACCTGAAGACAGGGGTCGACCCTGTAGATAAAACCTTGGGCCAGCCTTTAGCATCAAGACCACAGCAAAATACATGAGCAACCAGTACATTCCTTTCCCCTTTTCACCCACATCCTTTTACTTTCTGTCAAGATGACAAAAAAAGAGCCTTTGTCATCACTGAGCAGCTGAACCAGCCATTAGCCATATTCCTTTAAATTTCTCATTTCATGACAAAAATAACAATAATTAACCTCTATTTTGTTTACGTCGGTTCAGTCAAGTTTTCTGTTACTAGCTGCCCAAAGCATTCTTACTGACACAGAGGATCCAAATTGTTTGACTTGTTAAAATTCCTCAGTGAATCATCCTCATTTACACAAAAAGTGCTCTACCCCTCTCAACTTAGTCCTAACCCCACACCCTCATTATTATACTTAGTTCAGTTTTCAAAAGCCCTAGATCTATTAAAGGGGTCACCTAAAACCTCTGACTCCTTCAGTATTTCATACACATAGCTTGAAAACCTACAATAATTCAATTCCATATGAGGATAACATGAGGATAATGAACTTGATTCCCAGTGACCCGCCACAAGGAGCTTCTGTTCCCACAAATACCCATGCCTCCAAGGGCCCAAACTATGGAAAGACAAACCTAATAACAACCTTCCATAGTTTCCAGAAAAAAAGCTTCTGGCCTCATAACATAATCTTGATATACCATGGGCTCATTTTTCCCATCCTAGACCATCAGATGTGATGGGGAGTCTCCCAAGCCAGCAAGTCAAACAGATCCCAAACTGAGTTTGGCTCCTGCAACAACTCCAGGGGTGGTTTTTCAGGGCTTGGGGAAGCCACCTGCGACTGGCCTCTACCTGGCCCGGCGGCTTGCCTCCCACACAGCCTATCAATAGGGCTCAGCCTGCATGAATCTCCTTAGAGCAGCATTCTCCTTTACTTTATTCTTGGGATTGACACTCACTTTTATGTTCATTTACTGCTCTGTTGAAATTGGAACTGCCTTATGGCAGCTGGTTCGGCTGTACTGCCCAGGTGGCAAAACTAATAAACTTTGAGTCATCCACTTCTGGACCTCCATCTGGTCTCGGGCATTTGAACCATGGAGCATTCCAGGGCTGCCTGGGGCTGCCTAGCGCTAATCACCATTTCACAGATCACTTCTGTGTCTTTCAAAATGGAAAATCAAATCAACATTTTGTAGTAAAAAATGCACTGGATGGGAAGTCCAGTTTCATGGTTTCTCATTTCTGTCAACTCTAAGTAGTTGTACGACTGTAGGTATTTAATTGAACTACTTTGACCTTCAGACACATTCTCTATAAAATCTTGGGCATTTGACCAAAATGGATGGTTTTCAATCTTTTTTTTTTTTAAAGCAGAACTCTTGTATCACACCGAATAATGCATGAAATCCTAATATATGAGCAAGTAATACCCCAAGTGTTCTTGTTGAAGCAGAAGCAGGTCCCCAATGTCACCCTGGGCAGCATGAACACAAAACATAATTTGCAAAATAGTAAATGGTCTTATATGTGCTTCCAAGGTCTACACCTCTGACTATTACTCTTCTTAACAGTCTGGCAGATACCAGAGATGCAATTGTAGTCATTTTCCCATAAAAGCTCCTCCTGAAACTGGCAAAATTTTCTCAAGTCTGAGGTTTTTTCTCTAAGAAAGGTTTATCTTTGATCTAGCTCTGTTGGGAGTGGGGGTGGGGGTTGTTCCTTTCAAATAAATTCCGGTGAAAGTCACTCTCCAAGTTGCTCTGGTGCTACTGGAGGCCAAGGATCCACATTAATAAAGGTAATTCTTTGCAAGCAAAGAATCATAAGAGGCTTGGTATTTCTACTTTTTTAATTTCAAAGTCAACTGCTAGGCAATAGACCAACATCAGCATAGCTGCAAGAGGTAGTGGACTGGGGTTCCTGGGTGGTTCAGGTGGTTAAGCATCTGCCTTTGGCTCAGGTCATGATCCCAGGGTCCTGGGATCGAGCCCCACACTGAGCTCCCTGAACAGTAGGGACTCTACTTCTCCCTCTCTCTCTCTCTCTCCCTCCACCCCTCCCCCTGCTCCTCCTCTCTCTCTCTTTTTCTCAAATAGATAAAATCTTAAAAAAAAAAAAAAAAAGAGGTAGGACTGACTGGATGAGCTCAGGTTAACCTGTGATTCCTAGATGGATCTGAGATGGTTGACAGGAGTAGGTATGGACTGGATTCTAGGCTGGAGATCAGCCTGATTGCCTCATTTCTGGCCCATGCATGACCTCTTTCTTTCTTCTCAATTTTGACTTCTGTGTTTCTGACCCTACCTTGCTAAGCTGTATCTTTTGACAACTATTTCATAAAAGTAGTCCTATTTAGAGTAATTTTGAATGGACACTCAAAACTCATCTGATAGACTGTTTCTAAATGGGATCTCTATCTATTTCTTCCACACAATGGTAACTCATGAAAACAAAAAGCATTTCAGAACTAGCAGGCTACCACTGGGCAGAAAGGTTAGATAAGATTTTAAGCCACGGCCACCCAAAAACAAAGCATGATTTGTCAGTAACTATTCAGAGGCAAATCTGGGGGGAAAAGAATTCTATTTTTAAAAAAGAGAGAGCAACAGGGCTAAACTTAGCAACCCACTGTTTACAAGCGGCATTGCAAGTCTGAGAGTAATCTACTATTTACAATGAAGTATTTTAAGGCAGGAGAAGGGGAAGAAAGTCAACAGCTATGACGTGATTATGTATGAAAAATCAGGCTTCCTGGCAATTAATGACAAATTTTCCACAAATCAAAAGAATGCAGGATGTGACTTTTACGTTAATAACTATATACTGTATATCCATTCTAAATATTGCATTAGATCATTACTTTCATCCCCTAAACTTAGGCTCATTATTTCATCATGTGGATGCTATATAATTTACTCAGAATGTTGCCTTTATATGGTTTCATCTAAACAAAAAGGCCAACTTTGGTTTAATAATAATCATTCTGACAGCAAAACTATTATTTTAGATAACATAGCGGGTCCTGGTATTCTGTGTGTCTAACCAGAAAACCAACGGGGTGGTCAAAGTGGATCTCAAAGGTCACAGTCCCAAAAGACATGAGGAAGAATACACCCGATTATTTTCCACAGCAGCCCCATGCTGGCTGCCACCCCATGTCTCACTTCTACCAAATGAGGATTGAGCTGCAATAATAGAATCTTTCATCTCCAAAAGGACAACCAAGTATGATGAGTAAAGTGGGGAAAACAACACTCAAACTCTGGTCCATTGCATCATAACTGGTGGGTTTTTCCCTCCTGCTCCCTTGCATAGACTCTGGCTTCCAACTGAGCTGGACTGAACACCAGTCATGCTTCACTTCTTCACCCGCCCATCTCTCCATCCACTCTTGAAAGCCCATTTTCAACACCACCGTTTCCATTAAGTCCCCCTCATCACCGAAGCAAAAAACTATTTTCCCTGCCTCTGAACAAACACAGCACCTTAACCTGCCTATTCCGGCCTCACCTTCATAGTCTAGCTAAGAAGACCTAGATCAGTGGTTCCTAAACCTAGCTGTGCATCATAATCACCTGGAGCATTCTTGGACCCCACCCCGGGGCCTACTGAATCAGACTCTCCAGGGATGGAGCCTGGGGAAAAAAAATAATTTAACCAATGCATCATTCACTGCACACCAGATGTGAGAACCAAAACCTCAGGAAAATCTAGCCAAACCCCTTAATATTAGAGATGGCTAAAGAAAGAAACAGAGGGCGCCTGGGTGGCTCAGTTAGTTAAGCAACTGCCTTGGGCTCAGGTCATGATCCTGGAGTCCCGGGATCGAGTCCCACATCGGGCTCCCTGCTCAGCAGGGAGTCTGCTTCTCCCTCTGACCCTCTTCCCTCTCGTGCTCTCTATCTCTCATTCTCTCTCTCTCAAATAAATAAATAAAATCTTTAAAAAAAAAGAAAGAAACAGAGAAGGAAATAACTTATCTAAGGTCACACAGCTGGTTAATGACAGAACTCTAAACTCCTCCAACTATAGTGTCCTCCCATGCTACAGTATTATTCATAGCTGATCCTATCCCTCCTTTTCAACTGGAACTATTTCAGGGTAAGAACTGTGTACTGCAAACTCTTCGTACATTCTCACAGGACCTAACATAGAGCTTCTGCACTAATTTTTTTTAACACACAAATGAAAACAGTAATTATTAGTTTCTTTATTCAACAAATACGAGTGCTGCTTTGTAGAAGGCATTGTGTGAGGTACTGGGTATGCAAAAGTAAATGGAAAGATGTAGTCCTGCCCTCTTTGGACTTAAGAAAAGTGAAGAAGACAACTAAACAGTTACGGGAACTGCCATGGGGAGAAGTTTAAAAGAGAATAACATGGGTGAAAGCCCTAAGGCAAGAGAGTGGCATATAGGAAAGAGAAGAAAAAAGAGAAAAGGAAAAAAAATCCGAAAGTAGACCAATGTAAGTGAAGCATGACAAGAAAAAGATGGGAAATGAAATCGGAGAGGATGACAGATCACACCACCTCCTGCAGGTCATGGGTAAGGAGTCATTCTCTGCACACCTTTCAAAATGATCGTTTTATTTTTTTAAGTCATCACTACACCCAACGTGGGGCTTGAATTTACAACCCCGAGATCCAAAGTTGCATGCTCCGCTGACTTAGCCAGCCAGGAGCTCCTCACCATGATCATTTTAAAATCAAGAATTAGGGGCGCCTGGGTGGCTCAGTCGTTAAGCGTCTGCCTTC